CGAACCTCTTCAAAGCCAGCGTACCAAGGACGGATAGCGCAAGGTACTCGTTTAGCGAGAAACGTTCGTTATATGCTTTCGTTAATTTAGTTGTGTTGTTTGTGTTTGTGTCTTTCAGAGCTTTAGACATAAGTGCCAGTTTTGCGCTAAATATCCTGAATAAAGAGGATGCTTTACACCGGTATTTCCGCTCTAGCAGTGGGGAGTTGCCTTTGCTTTTGATGACTCCGTTTTCAGTCACGGACAGTGGCAGGTGGCGCTGGGTTGCGGGAGTTAGCCTGTTGGCTTACATGGTCATAATGTAGACCCGTGCATCAAAGGTGGCAACGTGTCTTACGTTCGATAGACACCCATTTCACCCACGTCTCTTGTGTTTCACCGATGGCTGTGGAGAGCAGTCTGTATTGATTCGGGCATGGTTGAGATTGGGTGCACCGCAAATTTGAATGCAAACTGACAGATGTTATCATGCACGGGTGACAAAATACAAAAAAGACACATGTAGAACGACTGAACGGTGGGAGAATTCTTTCACAAATTTACCCAATGGAATAAGGAAACCGATTTCGAGCGTGCACTGCGTTGATCAGGTACCACGAATTAACGTTGGATACACAGGCAGTTGGGGCTTTTGGAACCGCTGTGCCTTCTCACGCCTCCAAGGTAGCGATTTTGCACGCTCAGCTGAGACACAGTAGAGTTTGCTTCGCGTTAGGCCTAGAGTTTTATTTCATGTGCTGTGCGATTTTGCAGGAAAGGGCGTTGATACGGAATGACGGATTTGTCTCAAGAGATAGTGAGTCAGTTTGACGAAAAAGGGATTGCTCAGGTGTGTTTACTTGTGGTTGGTCAGATGGTAGTTGAGCTGTTCGCCGAGCTTGACAATTGGCTTACAAACGTTTCGTCCCCAGTCGAGGAGACATTGTCAGTGCGCAGTTGAATGGGTGCTTCCCCCGTGCCTAGCTGATTTTATGTAGTTTTCGAAGAGTATCTAAGATCGGGCCATGTGATTGGCCGCTTGGTATATAACTCATGTTGCAACAGACATCAGCCTGTTAGCTGTGGCATCGAAGGTGCTCTCTGGCCTTATCCTTCGAAGGTTGACTGAACAAAGGGAGAGGCAGATCCGTGAAAACCAAGCTTGGTTCCGTCCTGCAAGAGGTTGCATCGATCATATCTTCATCCTCCGAAGATTCTGGGACAGCGACACTGCTTCCAGCAACCAAAAATGGTTGTTTTTCTTGATTTGAAAGCTGCCTTTGACTCTGTGGACCGCCAAGCACTATTACAGTGTCTGTGGAGCAAAGGTGCCCTCCATAAATTCTTGGCCCTCATTGAGTCGCTGTACGCCAACTCCTGCGGCTGTGTAAATGTCTACGGGAAGCTTTCTCCTGAGTTCACCACATCAAGTGGTGTCCGACAGGGTTGTCCTCTTTCCCCTTTTATAAATAATTTTGCCTCGCGGTTTGGTATGCGCTTCACACCTGCAAAGTGTAAAGTGCTACTGCAAGACTGGGTGGGCTCGAACCCTAGCCTCGTGCTTGCGGATAAACCGATTGAGGTAGTAGACAAATTCGTTTACCTGGGCAGTTGTATCAGTCCCGGTGGCCTCACGAAAGATGAAATTTCCATCCAGATTGGGAAGGCCAGAGTAGCTTTTGCGAACCTACGTCACCTGTGGTGTAGGCGTGACATCAGCCTCTCTGTGAGTTGTCGAGATTACAGTGCTGCGGTGCGCTCCGTATTACTATATGGATCGGAAACCTGGTCGCTGCGCGCTGAGGACGTCAAAAGACTTTCAGTGTTTGACCATCGATGTCTTTGGAGCATTGCCCGAATCTGGTGGGAACTCCGGATCAGCAATGCTGATGTACGTCGAATGGTATTCGGGAGAAATAACTCACCCTCGGTAGATGAACTGATCACACTGCACAGGTTGCGCTGGCTTGGCCATGTGCTGCGTATGCCAGTCGACCGACTTCCTAGAAGGGCTCTCTTCACACAACCACGTGAAGGTTGAAAGAGAGCCAGAAGCGGTCAAACAATGACTTGGCAGCGAAGTATGAAAGCTGTAATATGCACGCTATGGAAGCACCAGGGGACAGTGTTTCTCCGAAGGCAGGTGTTCACGACAATTTTTGTGGATGGAAAACAGAAACAAAGCTCATGAACCAAAGCCCAGTATGCAAGGTTGTACATCACTAATACTTACATATGAATCAATCCGAATGACAGACGCTGTATACTACACTGGCCTCCTTTTTGATGAACATCGTCCCCGGTGTACCATGGCCTACGTGAACCGGCCGGTTCGAATGGTGTGGTGCGTTAAGCAGGTGAGCGTGCGCAGGGGTTGTTGTATCTGGGGCTGCGTCTACCGTGTGTGAGTGAGCAACTTGCTAGCTCTGAGGCCTGTATGCACATATGTAGAGCCAGGATCTTTGTGGTAGTTCTACTCTGTGTGTGGTAACCATCCTGGCGTGGTCGCCAATTATGTAATATGCATGCTATGGAAGCACCAGGGGACAGTGTTTCTCCGAAGGCAGGTGTTCACGACAATTTCTGTGGATGGAAAACAGAAGCAAAGCTCATGAACCAAAGCCCAGTAAGCAAGGTTGTACATCACCAATACTTACATATGAATCGATCAAAATGACAGAGGCCGTATACTACAAAAGCCATTACCAGCAAACTCAGCTGCGCTGGTCATTGACGTCTTCCTGGATGGGGACCCCAAGACGGGCCACATCAATGGCTAAAGACATTATCAGATATGGCGCAGTCGCGCCTTCAATGGCCCTCGTGCATCCAAGCGATTGCCTTCAATTCATAGCTCCTTTTCCAATCTCCGCCCCCACTTGGCAACCTACTGACAGTGCTGGATTTATGCACCAATTTACCATCTCGCGCCTGCAATGCGCAGCCACATACCCCCCTCAAATCATCGGTGAACGAAACTGCTTAGTTACAACCACTGTAAGACTAATACGCGGTTATTACAGCTGACAATGATGATGATGATGATTATGAACAGATCAACTGCCATCTGGTCAACCACCAGTAAACACACCCGAGCTACCTTTATTTCAACAAATTGACAACAAATTCGAGCGTCGCACGCTCAACACAGCTCGTCGATGAGGGACTTTCGCCTACCGTCAACCGCCGCATGACAACAGCAACGCTTTCTCCGGGAATGTCCACGAAAATATATTCTTTCCCGTAGTGTAACCTAAAGACTACCACTGAATCATTTACAGGCTTGGATGTTGTCCAGATAGCGTGGTAGGTGAATGGTCCGGCTGAGGATCACGGATGCACACAATCACATTAGAAGGTACGAGAGAATGGTCAGCGAACATGAGGCAGCCTGTCTCTTAATATTGGGACCCGACCTTACACAACAACTCAACACTGCAATAGAGCCAAGAGTCACAGCCCCCAGTAAAACAAGAAAACCGGTCTCAAAAACGAACTCGCTAGTCTAACCGAGAAAAGCAGGAAAAGCACAATGTTTAGATGAAGAACTGCTCCAAAAGGAGTAGAAAAGAAGTTTTTAATAAGAGTACTCAATTTTAACTCCAAGGATGCCACAAAGCTAGAATACCTAGCTAGTCCAAAGGCAGCTATGAAGTTCATGCAAATTGATGAGGACGCTCAGGAACATCGGCAAACCGTAGTCCCAGCCATTACACGCAACACAGCGTTCAGGACCCTATCAAGCAAAGAAAAAGAAGTAATGAACAAACTTGATATAGACGAGACAACCGTCATCCTACCGGCCGACAAGAGAAGCCAGACAGTCATCATGAACGAATGAGACCCCATCAATAATGCGACCCACTCGTCAAATGACTCTAGCCTGAGTTGCTCCACAAAATTCTGCATAACTTCCTGCCGTTGCTCTCTCCCAGCTGACGCTTTCAAAATTAATGGAAATCCTATCGCCTTTTTCATGGAGATCAAAGATCTCTGACATCAGACCGCTTCTGGAATACGCCAACCAAGCTGTTCACTCAGGACGCACGAAAGACTTCACCCTCATTGAGCGTGTCCAGCGGGCCGCTATGAGAATGGCTGCCGGCCTCAAATCCATGGACTACAAAACGCGTCTCGCGATGCTTGATCTCTTTCCTTTAGAATAACATAGCCTCCGAGGGGACCTAGTTCTTACTCATGCCCTTTTTGAACATAGCTTGACAAACAGGTTTTTCACCGTTGACCCAGCAAACGCACGGCGGGGACATAGTAAGAAACTTTTCAAGCTCAAAGCACACACATTCATTAGACAAATTTTTTTCTCATTTCGGGTAGTAGCTACGTGGAATGACCTTCCTCCGACGGTTGTCCACGCTCCTTCTAGAGCCCAGTATAAAGCACTATTAGACATTCATTTATGCGATTCCTCGCGCTGGCAATCATGCCGCCCCGCGCTGAGAACATAAAGAGCAATGCTACACCCTTTTTTCATTTGTGCCTTTCAGGTGAACGACAGTCACTGACCGACAAGAACAAAAGCGACCCGGGAAACTTGGGCAAAAGCCTCGATCCTGTGTATCAATCCGTGAATCCGTAAATAATCACTGGATTGTTCGAAACCTGAAATAGCATGCAAATTCTTTAGAAGATCGTGCCGTTCTGCGTTGAGTCAGCTGGATGACAAGCACACCCAACGCTGGACAAATAGAGCGAACGCTCACAACTTTACTGGCAATCACGGAATACGTGATTTCTGGACGCTACGGATTCCAACGCGTAAATAACCCTTACTTCCAACACATCTGACTCGTGCTTGATGTTTGACGTATGCAAATATATTTGTGCTAGAAAATTATAAAATCCACCTGATATTTCGACGTCGTTTGGAACGAACGCTGAACATGTTCTTGACTTTCTAACCTTGCGGATGATCTTCCCTTCTTTCTTCGCATCAACGAAACCTAGGAAGCCGTTTTTCGCGTCAAGACCCGTGGCGCTCGATTTGGAATCTCAGTTTCAAGATGGCGGATGACGCCGAGCTCGACCTTCTTAATCACAAACTCCAGCTTCAACAAGTGATTGATAGTTCATTTATTCATTTTTGTTAGGTCGAAGCTGCTCTAGAGCTAGACAAGGATAATGAGGAGCTGAAGATTCTTAAAAGAGACCTAGAAGAAGTCATCAAGCTGTCGCTTGAGTTGTTAGGGAAGACGGCAGACACTAATGAGATCGATTGGAAAGTTGGTGACCAGTGCATGGCAATGTGCTCGCGGGATAAACTGTAATTACTTTCTCTCATGTGACACTGCTCTTTAGTTATTACAAGGCGACCATTCTCGAATTTTTGGGCGAAACTAGTTGTGTAGTGAACTTCGAGACGTATGATACGACAGACGTGTGCCAGGTAAGATATACTCATTCTCGTGTCCTTTTTTATAAGCGTTATGTTTGCCCTTGCATGGTTCTCGATCTGCCATAAGCATATGCGGAGTGCGTTTCAATGCATTCCACACATTATCAAGACAGCCTGTGACGCACCTGACTCATTTTCGCGTTTATTTTGTAATGGAATGCTCGATAACATCCAATACTGTCTTGCTTGGACTAGGGTAATCCATTTAATCTTCCTGCCTGGCGTATATCCGTTTGTCGCGCGGACAGGTTGGAAAGTGCCGAGAGCTGAATAACAGTGCTCAGGGGTGGATCTGAACGGCGAGTAGGAGATCGGCGTTTTGAGTCCACTCCTGGGCATGTTTTTCCATATTGTGCGTGCTTGAATTTCTCAATTACCGAACGACGGTCAATCAAAACTACTGCGTTTGAGGTATCTGGGCGATGCCGTTGCTCGAGTGGTCATGGGAGCGTATGTAAAATATTACCTGCTCCTCTTACATTGAAGCGGATTACGTAGAAAGGGGAGTCCATGCTAAAGGACAAAACGTCCAACATGTAAAATGCACGTGTAAACGTGAAGTGGACGAAACGTGTTAGTTGCAAGTCATACGGGTTTAGAACACAGGGATGAAAGGTGTTATTAAGTAGTTCGACTTCGCAGTGAGGGTCGAAGGTTGATGTGAATGGCCTGCGGTGAACGGACAGAAGGTACAGCTGAAAGACTGAGGGACGAGAACGAAAGACGACTTCCCAAGAGCACCTTCAGTGACGCAAGACGGAAGAGGCCACGCTCATACTGAACGTTTGATGGTTGTCAGAAATGGTGTGACAGTGAAGCACATACGTCTGGTCTCAGCAAAATTTAATAGGAAGACGTTATCTCGACATGTGATTCATTTGGAATTGACGGGAAATGGAGCAGAGTTTTTGTAGAATCCAAGTAGGATACCAGGTTTACTAGAGGTGCGTTTAAGGGCAATCGGCTTTGGTGAACCTACAGAGGTTTCTGTTTGCCCAGTAAGAGTATCCTCAATCAGGTCCAGTTGAAATTACAGGGGGCAAGGTAGCCCAATGGATAAATCACCTGACTGGTAGGTCGGTTGTCAATGTTTTGAGTCCACCCTCGAGCATCTTTTCACTCATCACACATACTTGGATTATAATTTGGAGGTATCTGAAGCCTGTGTAGGTTTGTTGGCTTCTGTCGACGATTGGATAGTCTGGTCTTCACCATTAGTTTACACAAGCTATGTGATGTATGCCCCTCATATGACATGAACTCTTGCATGGAGCATTCGCCTGAGGGGCAAGAATGTATGTTTATCTCTGCCATTCTGCAATACAAGGAAGTAATAATAATCGTTAATCTGCTGAATCTATTCGGTGCCATGACACCCACGAGGGCCAAGATACTGCCAGGTTGCCAAAGTCTAGACCGGAATAGCCGAGATACGGAAATCGTGTTCGAAACATGAACCTTCCAACCAGGAAGTTTGCGCCCTAACCACTGAGCTACCTCAAGCTGGGGAGTTGTATTGCCGTATTATTGCACACAAAAACTACTCAGGTAGGTCTGTGGTGAGGGTTCGTTAGCGAAGAGGGGTTATCGAACTGGAGAAATCGGGAATGTTACCCCTGAACGGATAGCCGTACTTGTCATCGACTGGGTTCGTGATTTGTATTAATGACTCAGAACACCTGTTTCAGGTGTCGACGTTAGTGAACGCTGAATACACAGTTGAGTTAATCACAGTACTGATACAGTGCCTGCAGTCCACACCCGGGCTCAAAAGATCCTAAGGTTGAAAGCACTAGCTTTTTTACCGAAAGCCCTTTGAGGCCTGCGCATCCTGGCGGTATCAGTTCTGGTGCTTTCTGTTTGCATAACAGCTGTGCGGACGGAGAATACTGAGTATGTGTCACCATTTGGTTGAACACATATTCAGGGACGCACCACAGTCGTTCTTTAAATCGAAACCATTTGTAAACATCTGGTCCAAAAGGGGACTTTCTGCCGCAAAACTCCTAAAATCTGGATTCGCTCTTGCTGATATTTCTTTCCAACTAGATTTTGGATATTGATAACCAGTATTCAACCGACCCACTCTTAATTTCAGTTTCAGCCTCGTGGATTCCTCGGTTTGGAGAGTGCTTTGTTACTGCATTCATCAGTTGGAGGTCAATAATTCAAGTCTGTTGGCACGTCTTTTAGCTATATTTTTTCACCAACGTGATCACAGGCAAGTATTTCCACTGGAATCATAGACCCTGGTTAGCCCGTGAAGTGTGTCGCTACAAAAAAGCAGGTAGCATCAATTACTTTAACTGTCGCGCAACGGCCCTGGTTACTTTGTGTTTGTAGTCCTCAGATTGGTTGTTGATTTTTTTGGACGCCGCCGGATCACCAGCTACAGTAGTCTGCATTCAACCACAGGAAGTTGCGTGGAATTTCTAATCAAATGTGATTACATTTGATGACAAATACTAGAGTTTATTCTCCCGACATCTGTCTGTCTTAAGGAATGGCACCGATGATGATTATGTTACAACAGGCCCGACTTGTCACCACACCACATTTCCGCCTGATTGTGACGCGATAGGCATACGCGTTTTGTAGCCTGGGAGGAACAAGCGGATTTTTGGTTGTCGTTGAAAAATCGTGGTTCGAGCAAAGGTTGACGTGGGTCCGGAAATCCACTGAACTGCTGAACAGCCTGATAGCGAGGGGGCTGCAACAGCTCACAACAAAGTAGTTTGGCATGAAGCTCCTTTTGGCAGTTTCTTACGGGCTGATTGCGAAACCGTGTGTAATGAATAACCTCGTCGTTCGTGACAGTTTCCTTCCTGATATTGTCAATCGCATAGTGTATCGTTTGGTCCAAACGATTGGGTTTAATTTGATTGTATCGCTGCTGTCCTGTGAGGTTCGAATGGCTTCGGAACTCTGGATAGTGAACTACGACTCCATCCCGCGTCGGAAGTTTATGACCAAACATCTCGAGCGCCAATGAGCTCCTGCTCCTGGCAACCCTTCCTCCTAGAAAGAACGTGGGTAGCATAGATAGTCCCATTGAAGCCTCTCTAAAAAAAGATCCAGAATTAACTTGCCAATCGCAGGTATTAGCTTAACCCCTGTTGTGACAAGACTCAATCTTGTTGTTTGTCCGACGATTGTGGACCGTAAAGCATTGAACGCAACTAGTTTTCTAATTGGCGATCCTGTTGATCACATTACAGTAAGTTGTAAGTTCACGGCACAGGTACAACTGACCCACAGTGTTGGTATTCCTAAATTTTCACGGTGATTTTGGCTCGCGTTGTGCTGGGTTTCTCGGAAGTTGATGAATGCAACATGGTGTTTGGATCGCAGGCTTGCGAGGAGTCCCGCAGAAATTGAAAAGATGGTGTTCGACCGAAATATCCACGTTATTTCTACCTAAATTTATGTCGAACGAGGTCGTGACAAGGGCTATAAAGTCTTCACGATCCCATTGTCTGGTTAATCGTTCGTGAACACCGTGTTGTCATTTAGGGTGCGGATGATCTTGCCTTCGAAAGGTGGAATGCGCAGCTGTTCATTTACATACTGGCCAGAATCATGTTATCTTCTGGCGTTTGGTTTGCTTGCCTGGTGTCATGGGTCTGATTTCTGGACGCGTGGTTGCTGAATACCCATTCTAGAAACGCGTGTGATTTCACTGTATTCTACGTACCTCGAGCTGTGTCAACTCAGGCTGCAATATGCTAAGTGATGTCAGTGCGTAAATTGAAGGCTGCAGTTTCATCTGCCAATTTTTCACCTTATTGGTGACAAAGTGACTTTGTATATCATGCGGTCTTGTGTGATTGTGAGACGTAATCTTTGCTTTTGGGCGTAGTGCTAGCGGTCACTGTGCCTGAATTCCCCTATTATATAGCCATATTAATCATACAGTCATCAGCCATTGACGCTAGGACCCAGTCGTGGACTTATGGCCGTTATTTAGTACCTACGCTATTCGGATTAAGCCTTTACGTCGCACGTTTTCATTAACTTTCGACTAGACCTCGCTTACAAAGCGAAAGTCTTTCCAAATCACAAACTGGACAAGCGCCAAAACCTGTGCGGTGCTTTGAAAGCTTCCCGGGAAGAAGTAATTCCTAACTGACAGGTGATGATTGCCATGCTGATGTCACTGGGGACAGCCCAGACTGCTTCCTAACGCAGCTACAGGCTCTGAGACCGGCTACTGATTCAGCACATAGTATTCCCTGGGAGCTCACTGCGCATTTCCGCAGGACGAGCTGTTGGACTTCGGACCAAACAAGGCTCCTATATGGATGGAGAAACGTTGCAACCCTAAAGTCCAAGAATTAGAGGCTTGTTCTTTAAAAAGCTTGCAAGCCAAAGGGGCTCCGCCCAGAACTTCAAAGACGGTATCGTCCTACCTGAACTGGGTTATCTGAAACCATTTTGAATTAAGAGGCCAATCACTCGTGTCCTCGTTCAAAGACCCATCGAGAACAAATTGGCGCATAGACCTCACCTACCATGACGCTTAGTGGTTTCAGTAATACCGCAGCGCGTAAACTCTGGAAGTAAGACGCGGGTCCGAGAACATCGAGCGCAAATTCATCCCGCTAAAGAATGCGTTAACCACATCTTTGCAGCAATTCCAATGCATAAGCAGCTCTGGGGTTTTCGATTCTAAATAGGTTGACTCTTCTGAATGTAACTGACCAAAGAGGAATATCTCTGGAGTTCGTGCTCCTACATTCCACTCTGGGTATGTAAAATTTATTTGCGAGCCGTCTAGAATTTCCCCAACAAGTAGACTTGTCAAGTTTGCATCGTCTTCTTTCCTTTTGGGTACTGAACGAAGTACGCATGGATGCTATTGTTTTGTTGTTTTTTTCGAACTCTAAAACTATTATTGTCGGGGTTTCTAAAGGTTCTTTGCGGTACCCCCCCGTACAACAAAGGTAAATCGTGGTACAGTATCCTAGTTCCAAGGCCAAATCACAATACTTCAAGTGTATACGGCGCTGTAGTATGTAGTACCAAAAAATGTCACGATTTTTTCTGTTTCTCCGACAGTCTGGTCTGCTGACCATCTGTTGGGTCTTGGTAACTTAACTGTTATCTTACCCACTTCTGACTGGCATCTTTTAAAGATCTTACGGACCATCCTTGATACCGTCGAGTTTTCACACTGAGGTCAAATATTGGTCATGTCACCTCTTTGTCTGTCGTAGCTTATAGTGGTGTGTTCAGTTTCGGCCTCTGCGTGCACCCGACTCTTTTGCACGTTTCAAGCATTTCTTTGGACACAACCTACAGGTACGCACACAAATGGGCGTTTCCACCGGACCTCGATGTGTACCTGCTGCCTAAGGTGATCCGAGGCCAATGGCTCACTGAATATGCCCTGTGGTAAGACTAACCTGCAGATTGTTATTTCTTCTGATAAGTATGTCGACCACTTAGTGCTTGTGTGAATTCAATCACTTGGAATCTGATACACCAAACCCTGATTTCTGGTATTTGAATAGTATATTTTTACTTTCAGAAATGCCATCTGAAGCCCCTTACAACCGTGGCACCAGTTCCAAAGAAAAAGAAACAGTATGTCCATTTTTCCCTATAACCTTTTTGTAGGCGAGATGTGAAAGCCAGGGCGATCGAGAAGAAGAAGCAAAAGAAGCTCCGTTTGCAGCAAAGGCAAGAAGAGATCGAGACGTTTTGTGAAGTGGAGAAAAATCGGTGGTTGAACTTTAGCAAAAAAATGATTAAATCCGGGAGGACCAGAAAGAGCATATTCGCTTCTCCAGATGCTCCCGATGGCCGCGTCGGTGTCGGTACATGTGGAATTGGTGGTCGACCGATGACCAAATTTACAGTTCTTAACCACACAGCGCACAAGAGTTAAACGGTATTGGTATATGCAATACATTGTAAATATAATCACTAATTTCCCTTATTTGGGTTTCCCGGTTTTTCCTCAGTTAGCCGTACCTCAAAAGAACACTTCAAGGTACCTTGTACGACGTATGAGCAAATGATGTTTCAGTAAGATCAAATTCGCACCCGGTTTGTCGTCGTCTCTTTATTAGCATTTTAAGATGCAAATGTATCATGACATTTGGAAGCCTCCCACGAATAATAGTGCCCGAGCGGATGTTGATTTTATCGGTTTCGTTGCCAAAGCAAATTACTGGAGTATAGGGTTGTTCACATGGTTGCTGGAGAAATTCTGGCACAGTATGAACATGCCATCATTGCAGTTTCCGAGGGCTAAAGACGTCATTCATAAGACCTGCGTCGTACATCCACATTCGATTGGGTAAAGACAAAATTTGTACGCACAGTTCAACAACCACTGGAGATTTTCGTTTTCTCGGTATTTTTATTAGTTATGGTTTGGTCGCTTCCTCTCAGTAAGAGGGCCTGGCAAAAGGGCTCTGTGATTCAGGCGGTCTTCTGACGTCCTAATTGGCGTAGCTTATGAACCATGAGTAATTGCGGGAGAGTTCCTTCTTCCTAGGACCAATTGGCGTGCGTCAGCATTGCAAACGATGTTCCCACCAGACCCAACCAATGCTTCGGGGACACCGATGGTCAAACACTGACATACGGAGGGTGTCAGTGTAGTGTCTCCGCGTAGTCGTTTAGCTGTAACATCCTCTAGCTGCCATGCCACCGAAGGGAGCACGGGGGGTGGACTACTACCAGGTTCCCCAAGCCTAGACAGGAGAAGTCGAGAGGCAGAGGTCGGACCTTGCGGTCAGTAAATTCAGGTTCTAATCACTTGAACCATCTCGCCCTATCTTCGCGTAGGGACTACGTGATGCAGTATGGATTGCACCACGGCATTGTATATTCCGACCTTGACAGACAAACTGACTTCACGTGAGCGCCATAGGTGTCGGGGGTTGGCAAAAGCTGACCTTGCCTTCCCGATTCGAGTAGTACTATCATTCCCAGCCAGTCCGCCCCAACTTACATAGCTGCTCAGGATCGCCTGCTAGCATGAGGTATGGGTTTGATCCCACCCAGTCTTGTGATGCTACAAGACAGGTGTGAAGCGCATGACGTACCGTGCGGCATCTTGTCGAATTTGGGTGGCAGATTGTCCAAGGATTTTTGCGAACCTCATGCAGACGAACTTTACCTAGGCAGCCCGCTTATTACACCAGGTAGACTGCTGTTGTGAACGACTGACCTTAGATCATCTCAGAGACGGTTCGTCGTATGCTTCAATCCCATTCGCGAATGATCGATATCATGCGATGCATGTGATATTTGGGGTACTATTTAAGAGCGAAGTAATGAAATGCGAGATCACGCTTTCCGGAGAGTTGTGTTCTGCAGATTAGTGTCTTTGGGAGTCGTCAATCTTGTGGCTAAAACTGTGACAGTTTTCTTGGGGATATGAATATCCCCGAAAACTCTGTATCTTTGTGTGTGCTAACGAACCTACGGCATTTTCACGGTCAAACTATCGGTATATATATATATACATACATACATATATANNGTCGCTTGCTTTCCGTTATCGCCTGTTCGGAGCATTACAGCTGTGTTCAGTGACAGGCTCAACAAGCTACCTTGGTTGATCCGTCGCTCCAGAAGGCGATCCAGTTCCTGAATTCTCGATGGCATCCGAACCTCAAAGATGATTGCCTTCGACAGTTCCACCGCCTGGATGCATTGTCCGTCGTAAACAATTGCTTGATATCTGGAGGTCGCGTCATGATTTCCTCAATCTTCGCGCCGTCGAGTCTCCCGTCAGTTCAATTCCGGGCATTCAGGAATAAACCGCATGAAGTCAATGGCTCGCAGTTGCGCTGACTGGCTACACGTGGACCAGCACATCACTGATTTTGTAAAACGCTGCTCCCGATGCCAACAAGCTGCAAAGAACCCGTCATATCAACCACCGGTTCCCTGGCCTCTACCTGAAAAGCCTTGATCTCGGGTCCACATTAACTACGCACAACCAATACGTGGCACATCCTATTTTATTTTGACTGACGCCTTTCTCCAAATGGCCATAAATCTTTAACAGCATCTAGTACCCTGCGTGTGTCGCCTGCATGTCTTACTGGGGTTCATCGTCTCACACAATGGTTCGAAGTTCTTCGCTAAGTTCCTCGAGTTTTGCACTCGACGTGCTATAGCACACGTTCGTTCACCACCGTACCACCCGCAATCGAATTGTCAAGCAAAAAGATTCGTCGACTTATTCAAGAAAGCCTTGCTTAAAGCTCGAGGGGATGAGACATCCGTCGAGATTCCTGTTTATGTACCTAACGGCCCCGAATGATGCTTTGGGGAACCACCAGTCACCTTCAGAGGCACTCATGGGCCGTAAGCTGAGAACCATGCATTCTTCCATGTTGCCAACACAGTCTACTGAATCAAGGTCCATAACGGTGGCAGCTGGAGATCCATTCAAGGTGGAACACCCGTGCTTGTCCGTGATTATCGCCCGGGACAATGCGTGAGTTACAGGTCGTATCCTGCGCAAACTCGGTAGTGTGATGTGCGACGTGTCAGTTGGTCAAGACACCTGGACCAGACATCAAAACCAACTCCGATTCAACAGCACGCCGGAAACTCAAGTATGTTCGGGTACCGTGCCGTTGGACATATTGCTCGATACTTTTGAGCTGAAAGCGGATGCAGTTCCGAAAGAAGAGAGTGTGACCGGCAGCCCATTGCTTGATGCCGCGATTCTTCCCAGGCGGCGGACAGACCGACGCCGCCACCAGTCGAAACGTATTCAGGTCGACCCACGTCGAGCTTGTTACTGACTCTTCTCAAGGGGAGTTGTTAGGATTATCAATATCCCCAAGAACGGTATCATTGTGTGTTCTGACGAAATTCCGGCAT